GATCCTGCAATCTCTACTCAGGCAAAACTCTTAAAGTCAACAGGTATTTTTTCTGAGTAATAGCTATGAGACCAGGCTCTGAAGTGATTTCTTCTTCCTCTGTCATGCCATACAGAGACATATATTAATGTGCAGTTATGTGTCTAATCACTTATCTTAGACATTAAACCAATGTGAAGTCTTTCTTACAGGAATATTCTACATCTGTCAAACCTGCATGCTATAAAATCTTAAAGCCCTAGACAATTGCTATCCATTCATAAAAATGTATATTTATTAACACATACCAAATCTTTCTGTAAAACAGGCAAGTTGCAATGCAGATAAGACTTAAGCATGGAACATTCAATGCTTCTACATAGTTTTCAGGAGGTGCCCTGGGGAAGATCCCTGTCAGACATGAACAGTGTTAGGATTCATAAGCCAAAGGAATAATTTCTGATATCTACATACTCAGGGCCGGCTCTAGCAAAAAAAAAAAAAGAATGGCCGGAATGCCGCCCCTGGAATTGTGCTGCCCCAAGCACATGCTTGCTTTGCTGGTGCCTAGAGCCGGTCCTGTACACACTTGTTGAATCCTCAGAGAACAAATACAATCTAGTGCAATTTGGGTTGTTATCTATGGTTTGTTTATTTAGTGACAAGATCATATCAAATGATTAGAGGACAGACTTCTCTCCTAATAAAAAAATTATGATTTACATTTATCTAGCACCTTTCATCCTGAAAGACCTAAACTTGCTCTACCAGCTAGGACTTCCGTCCAACAAAGGATTTAAACATGTTACATGCTTAACTCTAAGCACATGACTATTTCTGTTAACTTAAATGTAAGCATTCAAGTCCTTTACTGGATCAAGGATTTAAGTGTGCTAGCTTACATAGTATTCATTTCATCCACCACTAAACTGTTGCCACTGGTAAGGTGGACTGCAGCTGCTGTTTAACACCGTGCAGCATCACTAGCCACCAGTTTAAGACAGAAAGTGAAGAGGAATTTAAGGAACCAGAATGTATTCATTACCACACTTGAACTTTGGCTAGGACACTGGGGCTAATGTTCCTATTCTTGTGAAGAGTGCTCTGTGCTAGTCAGAGCCTCCGTTATATACCTCACCCAAAGGACAGTACTTTCAGCAGCATAATGCCTGCCAATACCATGCTGGGACACTATTCCCGTATTTATGTAGAGGGAAGAGAACCACATACTGAAACATTAATCACTTTTCTTCCATTACCCTGGATTCTCCTTGGTGATCTCCCTGCCACATAACAGACACACCTGACTCTCCTTCACTTGTGAGGCATGATGAAGTCACTGTCTGAGGTGCTATGACTTATCTAGCAATAGACTGAATAATAGAAAAGACCTGGGGGCTTGCTGCTCTCTTCTTCCTACATGCCCATGTATCTATGTGCCACGCCCACTAGCACCAATTTTCCTTGCTTGCATAGGTGTAAGTCACACCCTTCATTTTAGTCTAAAATCAGTTTGTAGGACTCAACATGTTAATTAGTGTCAATCGTGCCTGATTCTGGAAATTTCCACAATTTCCAACTGCATCTGGCTCAGAGATTCTTTGCCCTTCTGCTTTGGGGCTGTGATCTGCCCCTCCATCTCCTTTAATTATCTTTCCCCCCCCAACACACAGTTTTTTCCTTTTATTCCCCCTCCCCTTTATTTATTTATTTTTAAAACTCGTCAGATTTTCTCAGATGATGTCAGCTTGCTTGATGCAGTAGAAAACACAGTTCAGGTTCCAGTTCCCCTGGCCTTTCTGCAAGTCTCAAGGCAATTCCAGCTTCGACCCGCTTGGACTGCTCCCGATAGGCATCCATGACCCTAACAGCAGCTGTGCAGGTGCAGGAACCATCAATTGCTTTAGCATCGCCCCTTTCCTCTCCATCCATTCATCTGCTCCTCATCCTGTTGCAAGACAGAAGGCATCGTGGTACACACACACACACACACACACACCCCTCTTTATTCTACTGGAGCACACTGGCATCATTATGAACGTATATGATTGCAACAGCCATTTGGAAAGAGTTTACGCTGTGTGCAAAATGCTAAAAAGTTTATTGTTTTACCATTTTAAAAACACTATGCAGCACAAACCAGCTTTACCGTGTCAACGATATTATAACTTGGCAATATTATATATTTTTTTAAGCATCGTAGGGTTAGGAGCATGCTGGCCCCTAGAGCTTGTTTTATAAATAATGCCTTATTTTACTATCTAGTTCTGATAGCCTTCCGTGCCTTCCCACAATTCCACCCAAAGGGTAGAAAAGTTATCTCACAATTGATAGGCATTGCGTACCCCTTGGTTCTTTGTGTCGAGATGCTCTAGGATTCTTTCCCTGTCAACTGTGGGAGAACTTGTGTATTCTTTTGGGGGGAAACTATGGGAAGGCATTGGAGGACTATCAGCATTTAAATGATTTTGCCTATGTCCTCACTGCAAAATAGGCAGGCTCCAACCCACCTTAAGGGGATTAGTCCTGCTTTGAGCAGGGGGCTGGACTAGATGACCTCCTGGGGTCCCTTCCAAGCCTGATAGTCTATGATGCTATGATTTTTAAAGTGGAGCCTCGGCTCTAACCCCCGACACCTGAGTAAGCTAACCCAGGCTTAAAGCACCTCCAAACCCAGGTCAGAAGTTTTTCTGTATGGATGGCAGGGAGCGGTAAGGCTAAAACCTCAGTAACAGCCTCAGTTAACTGTGTAGTGTAGACCCCATGTGTGCGAGAGCATATTACCCTCCACTGGTTGGCTATGCTAAAAAAGATATCCTACGTGTGTTTCTAGAGGTGACAGCTAACAGAGATCTTTGTTTTAGCTTAAGTGGTAGTAGCCTCGTGCTTTTGGAGCTAAAGTAACAGAGCTTTTATCTCAGCTTAATAGGTCTATGAAATTTTATATTAGTGAGGGGAGAATATCGCCATTTTTAAGGTTCCAGTCACAGTCCAATGTTAAGGCTGATTTAATCTTCCTTGTAACAATCACTTCCTCTCCCTATTGCCCACTTCCCTATTCCCCAAGAAAGACAGAAATCTTCATGCTTTCAAATAATTAGGATTAAGTCTTACTGGCAGCTGGAATGTTTTTTGAACATTTTGATTAAACTGAGTAAGTATCTTTTGAGATTAAAACATTTTAAACTGTGTCCAGTTTGAAAATTTTGCATTTTCTAATATCAGGGGGTAGCCGTGTTAGTCGGTATCTACAGATGCATCTGAAGAAGTGAGGTTTTTACCCACGAAAGCTTATGCCCAAATAAATCTGTTAGTCTTTAAGGTGCCACCAGACTCCTTGTTGTTTTTGCATTTTCTAATGTTTCTCTGTATCCTTAGATCTGCCCAATGCAATCACATTAGACCACAAGATTTGAATTATAAACTGAACATAGATTTTAACATTGGTTTAGACAAGAGGCAGTTTTCAAAAGCAAAAATAGTTAAATGTGTAAGAAATTTCCATTACTTGATCACTGGACACGATTCTGTCAGTGAAACTGAGAAAAAAAATATCACAGTGACTAAGAATATGTTCACCATAGAGCTCTGAACTGGCCAAGGCTACTTTCCAGAGTTAAAGGAAAGGTCAGGATCTGGTTTAATGATTCTCCTTCCTGCATGATCCACCCTTTGGTCTAGGGTGAATGTGACCCCACTGTGATATTTTCCTGACTGAGGAACTGAGTGATTGAGGAATCTCATTTTTTTTTATTATGCTACAGCCCCCTTATACTGTACTGGTATATAATTCTCTGTTATACTAAGGCCCCTTTATGCTGCTTTGGCAGAAACAGTCCCCTGAGAATATACCCTACATAAAGAGCCTCACCAGCTGGCCCAGACTATGCTCTAATCCTCCCCGCCCCCCACCACTACCACAACCACCTGCCAAGAGTACCAGGTACATTTATTTATTTATTTATTTAGTGTATGCAACCGGGTACATTGAGAACATGTTTCTATATTTATATGGCTATTCTCTGCTTCCCAGGTTCCATAGGGGACCTGGGGAAGCAGATCAAACATTAGAGTAACCCCAAGACCAACCCCAACGCTGCTCTAAATTACACCAGCACTCAGGCAGGGCCAAACTATTATTATTAGCCATGTATTTTTAGAACAGGTAACTACGGTTTTGAGAGGTTCAGTAACTTGGCTTGGAACCACTGTGCCCTAGTGAAGTAAGCATTAGTGCCATAAGTATGTGGATTCTAGTCCTTTGTCTGAGAAGTATCTAACTCTCTGAGCAGTTTTCACTACTATTTGGAATGAAGGAGGTAGCCTGTGCTAGGCATGTTTGGCTAACTTAGCTATATGGTAAATGTGTGTGCCTTTGTCAGGTGTGCTTTGAATGAGGCAGGGCTCTGCAGAAGCCATTAAACTTGGACAGCACCACTCATTCCTTTAATTTAATAATCTGTCCAATCCCATTTATTTAAAAGTTTAAAAATGCTGTCTTTCATTTGGCTACATTTAAAAAATAATTAAAGTTGCTGGGCGGTAGAGGACTTGGCTATCACATCATTTATCAAAACAAATCACTTAAAAGTGAATAATCAAAGACATAATTAATCTTATATTGCCCACATAATAAACACATTATTCATATGGTGCGAGCAGATTTCAAAACCACCTTCACTCAACCACAACCACCTTAACTCTGACTCAAAATGAGTATTGTTCTTTCTCCCAAAACATCAAAATATGAAGCACAATACAAAAACTTTTTGAAAAAAGAAACCTAACAATAGGGGTAGATTCTCAGCTGGGATAAATCAGCTTAACTCATTGATTTTAATGGTGCTACATTGATTTACCCAGAGGAGAATCTGGCCCTATAGATGTTCAAATTAATTACACAGACTGTACTAATGTCACTCAGCAACCTTTTTTTAAACAAAGAATTTAAAGACAGTTCACACAACTTATGGAGAATCTTTTTGTAGGAAATTTTGTCTTTTATTTCAGTTGTATAGATGATACCTCCCCATGCCCTTCTCCCCCAGTTACCCATAACACAAATAGAGAGAAAGTGAAGTGTCTGTCCTTTATAACTAAGCAGACACATATCATTATAAGTGTGTCTGGTTTGAGGAAACCTATTTTTGCCTGCCCCTTATAACTGTGTCCACACTACGCCAAGTGCACTCTTCTACTTTGGGTTGCATTTTTAAATGAAATTCATGGTCAAAATCATGACAAATGAATTGCAATTGCTAGTAAGGTCTCTCTAAGGAAATTCTAGCTGAACTGAGCCTGGCTGCCAAAAAAATCCTAACTGGCTCTTCATAATATCATCAACAATTGATGATTTCAGATAGTAAGATAAACAAATGATTTTCTTTCCAAGAAGGCACAAATTCAATTCAATCACTTTAGAATGATAGCACAAGCCTAAGTTAAATCACCTTTTACCACATTCAGTTATTGTTTCCTGTATTCTTAGGATGATTGGAAAAACTTCAATTAGTCATAATGATTTTCTGTCCCTCTATTTCCTCTTTTGGAATGTGAACAGTCAAATTGCAGTCCTAATTATCAATCAAGGTATAATAGATATGATGGGACTTTTGAAAGTCACAGTTCATCTTTCTGTTTCAGGATGATTTTCCTCAAAAGTTCAGTGATGTAAGGTTTTATTTCTTCAATAGTGACAGTTGAGTCCCAAGCCTTTACTACTTTCCCATTAGGGGCTACCAGGTACTTCCAGAAGTTCCAGGTTGGTTCTTCTCCTGTGGATTCTGTGAAGGAAAAGAAAATACAAACAGAAGAGAAAACCACATGAACCAGTTCCTCATATTTGAGTATGATGATGTGTTGATTAGCATCTTAAGGAAAGAAAGTACATAAAATCAAGGGGAAAACATTAGGTTGAATATCAGGAGGGATTTCCTGACAGGAAGATATATTAGACTGTGGAATACTCTACCATGGGAACTAGTAGAAGCTCAATCACTTAAGGCATATAGACAGGAGAAAGTACCAGAAAATATACTATTTGGAACAATCATGCACTGGCAGGGAGACGGACTTAGGAACAGCCATATTAGAGCAGACTAATGGCTTATCTAGTCCAGTAGGCTATCTCTGATAGTAGCCATTACCAGATGCTTCAGAGGAATGTTTCAAGAAACTCCGCAGTAGGAAATAATGGAATAACCTACCCCCTAGGAGAAGTTTCTTCCTCACCCTCATTAGTTAGAGGTTGGGTTATTCTCTGAATAACCTCTATGATTTTATTATATTAAATGGAAAAGTTCAGGAATGCATTTTAGAATAAGGGCAGGAGTTTCTGCCCATAAATGTGAGGTCTTAAGATAGGAGCACAGAACGTGCAGGTCCAGAGCCATACATGCTTCATCTGGGACAAGGTTACATCTCTTGCCACTTCTGGGCCAAACCCCCACGTGGAATCAGACAAATTGCCAAGGTGCATGTGACAGGGTGTACCAGGCTCTCTGAGCCCCCTGCTGGAGGCCTCATGGTCCTTCCACACCCTGCCCCAGAAAAGGAGCAGCGAAGGTGAGTCCTCCAGGTCTGCCTAGAAAGGCTGCAGGGAAGCAGCCAATCAGAGCGCAGCAGGCTCAGATAAAAGGAGCCGCAGGGGCTGTGTGCAGTGCTGTCCCTAACTAGGACCAGAGGAGTAAGGAAGGGTGTGTCTTGCTAGAGCTCAAGAGAGATACAGAAGATGGGCTCTGGTGGACATGGCATTTGGTGAGGCAGGAGAAGCGTAGAGAACTTCAGCCCTGAGGTGAAGAGGAAGGGGCTATGTGGGAAGCAGCCTAGAGAATAGCAGCAGCAGCAACAACTATTAAAGGAAGTAGTGTGTAGCTGCTATTTGTAGGGTCCCTGGGTTGGGACCTAGATAGCGGACAGGCCTGGATTCTGCCACTGGCAAAGTGGCCAATACCCTGAGAAGGGGGCATGTTTTGTTTAGTAGCCCAAGCCCAGGGATGAAACTTAAAGGACTCAAGGATGGGGCTGAAGAGGGCCAACCATTTGTTGAACTTTGTTACTCCCTGTCCCCTGGAAGGGAGCTGAACTTGAAGGAGTGACCCAGCTGGGGCAATAAGAACTCTTATGGCAAAGAGTCTCCAGGGAGAAAGCCCTGGAGGCACTGCTCTAGACCAGGGCAGGCACGGTCTTAAAGCCAGTCCAGAAGGGGCTGAGGACTGAGCATAGAGACATGGCTAAAGATTTTAACAAGGGCACAGGGACAGGCCCTGTTTGGACCTCTTACCCTGGAAGGGATTTGTTCATGCACATTGACTGTGTGATTTGGCCAGAGAGCTGGACCAGTGAAGATCCACCTGATGAGATGAACAGCTGAAAAGGGGTGGTGGGAGCAGAGAGAGAAAGTGCAGGTTCATACACAACCAACAGGAGCCACTAATGAGAGGTGAGTGTTTCCTGTCACAGTGCACTGCCAGGCTTATGCTGGTGACTGTCCTTTCACATTACAGTGGTGACTGTACCACCTCTAACAGCCTCATGCTGCATGTGGAGCATTGGGGAAGGATGGGATTTGAGGGGGCTACTTAGGATCTGGGGTAAAAATCTGTCTGGGGATCGGCCCTGCTTTGAGGGGTTGGACTAGATGACCTCCTGAGGTCCCTTCCAACCTTGATATTCTATGATCTGCAGAAATGTCAGCTCTGGAAGACTGCATGTGGCAGCCAAAAGTAGTACAAAGAACTCTGCTGTAAATCCATGGGAGAGTGTGGGAGGAACACTGTTCCTGGGTAGAGGAGGTGAGACTCAATGTGCGGTCATGTGGTGGTGGGTTTGATTAGATTTGTCTCCCTTCCTAAAAAATTCCCTGAATGTTGGCTGAAGATTCTGATTTCAGTTCAGTATTTGAATGGTGTTTGGAGCATTCAACCTATGCAGAAAAATATAGTGCTTAGATAAGAAGAACCTGCTTTATTGAAGGTTTCTTAGCTGTCTGCCAGGAACCAACAAAAACTCCCAAAGACTCCTCTCCTAGCATGCATTGGCTCTTGTACAAATAGCTGGATGGATTCTACAGTTTGGTTGTTCCATATTCCTTGTGAGGAACATGGAAGAAATTTTTCCAGGAAATCACTATCAGCACCTGGTTGCACTGTTTTGTGAGTGAATGCAAAGCTTGTGAAAGTGAGGGGTTCAGATGGATACTGAGGACATTTTGCTTCCTCTCACCCTACAGATCTGCTAATGCATCTCATAAAATCTGACCTGTGGCAGCCCCAGATGTGTCATGACATGGATTCTCTGGAGAAATGGTTGCTAAGTGGAGAAAACCAGGCACAGCTGCCCATGTTCATGACCCTGTGATCAGGTACAGAGGGAATGTTTTACACTCCCATGTACACTGAATTTGAATTTCTAGACATTCTGAATCTGTATTTGGATAGGCATTAGATATGATTATTTCACATACATGTTTATTAAAATGACCCTATCAGGCACATTTGCTATCATGAACACTATAAATAATCCTTATAAAAGTCTTGCCAGATCAGATTCAATGCCAGCAACTTACCTCCTTAGATATAGCTGCTCTAGATATTACTTACCAATTAAATATTTGAAGGCAGCATTAGCACCAGCACCTGTGACTGCAATTTTGCTGAACATAGGAAAGGAGGCACCATAAGTCTTTCGGGCAAAGCTCTCAATTTCTTTGTTACTGTCTGGCTCTTGCTGCCCAAATTGATTACATGGGAATGCCAGCACATTAAAATGATGTGAGCCAAGGTCTCTCTGTAACTGTTGTAGAGCTTTGTAGTGGCTATCTGTAAATCCGCACTCACTTGCAACATTGACGACAAGAGATACCTAAACACAAGAGATTAAAAACGTACTGCATATCTGTTTGACATAAGCTTCCACCAAGGACGCTTGACTGGAGATCATTCTCAGCAGAATAAAAATATCCATGTTGAGAATCTTCAATGGACCGGGATTGAGCATCTTGCTACTGTTTGACACTGTTTCAAATTCTTTTGATTATTTAGGGAGACTTAGTTTTTAAATATTCACTTTATTGAAGTTAGAAGTAGCATCCATGCTGATATAATTCATCCTAAATTCCTTGGGTGTTTTCATTCTGTTTTCAGAAAAACCAGCATCTCCTCTGTCCTGTCTCCTTGGCATTTTCTAAACATTCACTATAGTATAAACAATCCAGCACATGTAAAGAAATTACTGTTCAGATGAGGTTTGGTGCATATTAATTATTGTAGGTCTTTCAAATGTTTTTAAATGTGCAACAACTTCCCTCTCAGCATTGACCCTGAATCAACTGATGCACTTACCACTGTCAATATAGATTGATAATCTTAAAGGTAAAGGGGCCATCGTGATAATGTAGCTTGAACAACATAACATGAGACATAAACTTCACTCAGTGATTACTGCATCAAGCCCACTAACTTGTGGTTGAACTAGAGCATATCTTTCAGAAAGCCATCCAGTCTCAATTAAAGACTCCAAGTGGTGGTGAATTTACCACTTCCCTTGGGAAGCTATCCCAATAGTCAATTAACCTTAAAAATGTGCATCTTTTTTCCAGTTGGAATTTTTCTAACTTCATCTTCCATCATCTTTGAGCTTCTAGACTATTTGATTAGACAATGAAATTGTTATAAATGTACATTCCGTGGGCCACATCACTTCTCCCACGTGCCATTGCCTTTGGAGCCCCTGCTGTTGGGTGGGTGTGCAGCATAGCAGGGCTTCACTTGAATAATAGCACAGCCTCAAGTTGTAAATCATTGTTAAGCAGATTCTGCAAATGATCCATGGGGGAGACCTTTCCCAGGCCTGATGTATCTTACACACAGTGCTTTATAGACAGATTGCTAAAATCAGGAAGTACCCTCCACAGAGTCTGGAGGCATAGCAAGATCATGCTGCCTGTCCCCAAACCTCAGTAGAGCCACATACCAATGTTGCACCTGCAGGAGTGAGGAGGGGAGAAATGAGGCCATGTAGGAAGCATTCCCTCATTCTTTGTGTGTAGATATACACACAGGTCTCAAATATGCCAGTCAGAGGTAGAGAATGTCCTGGCCCAGTGAAATGAAGCTCTTATACTCTTTTTACATGTTTGAATAAGAAAGTTTGATCCTGCTCCAATTGACATGAACAGGAGTTTCACCATTGACTGCCTTGGTTTGGGATTGGGGTTCAAAGTTAGGACTTGTGGAGCCAAAGAGCCAGAGTCAGTCTTCTTGTAAGTTGGTGTAAGCAGATCTAACTCTGCTGAAATCAGCTGAGTCACACATGTTTCCACCAACTATGGCCACATCTGCCCATGGAGCTAAATTCTATTCTTAATCCCACTGATTTCCATGGGGCTGCTGAGAGCAGAATTTGTCCATGTGTTTCTTTCCTGATCTGTATTTGAACTCAGACTTCAAGTACTTTTTGTTAAATTATTTGAGTTCACAAAACAGCCCTAAAATTCCAAATCATAGTGGAAGTTCTTATTAATGCAGGCTCCAAATGTGCTTTGAAGATCTTTTAATATTTAATCCTTACTCTAAAATCTCCTAAACATTTTGTATTCTTTCAGCTGCTGCAAGGGAGAACTACAACTCACGCTGACTAAAATAACCCTCCTCTTGTTTTCTTTGGAGGCAATTAAAGCCAATTGCTATAGATCTTTCAGATGTTCTATTAATAACAATACTCTGCACTTATGCAGTGCTGCATGTTATCTGCATAATGCTACAAACTTTCACTTTAAATAGCACTTTATAAGTGTTAACCAATTAAATTCACCAGTTAAAATATTAGAAGATTTAATTCAAGTATATTGTAGAAAAGAGTTAAGATACCAAGCCAAATCCTACTAGGCTTACACCTGTGCAGCCCCACTGAACTCAATGAGGACATACAGGATATAAATCAGGGCAGATTAATTGTATCTTTGAACCAAAGAGCTCAAAGTGTTGCACAAATTAATGTATCGAGTTTCACATGACCACTGTGAGATCACAAACAGTGAGAGCTCTCCTATCAGTGTAGTTAATCCACCTCCCTGTAAGGTGGTAGTTATGTTGGCGGGAGAAGTTTCCCCCACTGACATAGCGCTGTCCACATGTGGGTGTTAAGTCAGTATAACTATGTCACTTAGGCTACATCTTCACTACCCGCCTGAATCAGCGGGTAGAAATCGATCTCTCGGATCAAATTATGAGACGCGACAATCGATCCCCGAATCGACGCTTGTACTCCACCAGCGCAGGTAGGAGTAAGCGCTGTCGACAGCGGAGCGGCGGAGGTCGATTTGCCGCCGTCCTCACAGCAGGGTAAGTTGGCTCGGATACGTCGAATTCAGCTACGCTATTCGAGTAGCTGAATTTGAGTATCTTAAATCGACACCCCTCCCTCCCCCCCGTAGTGAGGACGTAGCCTCAGGGTGTGGGTTTGTCACACTCCCGAGTGACCTAGTTATACTGATATAGGGATATATTGTAGTATAGACCAGACATTGTTAATTGACCTGACCAAGCTCATATAGCAAGTGAGTAGCAGAGTTGGAAATAGAACCCAAGAATCCTGACTCTGGGTTTTGTGCTCTTACCAATAGAATATTCATTAGACAAGCTTTGAGTTCTATTATTACATATGTACATGCATACAATGTGTTTATTTTAGTATATAAACTCATACACTATATATTATATCTTAATGGTACTTCACAGAACAAAGATTCCATGCCTAGAAAAGCCTATAATCTAAATAAAGAGCAAGGTGTGAAAGGGTAGGATGGAAGTGAGGATGGTAAGGTTATGCAGTTATGTGAGAGGGTAACATTAGTGATTATAATTTTTTAAGTTTAATACTAATAGTTTTCATTAGAGCTAGAGTTCTAAAAGGCATGACACACAAATCATGGCATTCCTACACCATTCTACTGTATCAGCAATGACTACTATTCTGAGCCCTACTGCTTAGTGATATGTTGGCACAGCACACAAGAGGACACAGTCTCATGCACCCTGAATATGGCATGTAGAGAGGCTTTGGTTCTTTTCTGAGGTGTTTATCACTTAAGATGGACCTGAGTTACAAAGCTGGGATCCAGTCCTGACCTTTGCTACAGTTTAGAGCTGTTTGGATTCAGGCCTATCGCTGCATAAGCTCTTTAGGACAGGGGCTGTCTTTTTTTGTTCAGTTTGTACAGAACCTAGCACAATGGGGTCCCGATCCATGGCTTGGACTGCTAGGCCATACAAATAATGGCTTGTTTAATCAATCATCCCCCCATAGCATGAAGAAACTGCTAGATTGCTTTAAGGGCAGTTTCCCCCCCAACAACCCTCCTCCTGTTAAAATCTTAGTGGTCGTCATCACTGAGGATAAGAAAGGCCAAACAAGGCATCCTTCAGAACCTATTGAAGTTATCCCTTAATTGTCCCTGAGAGATGGCAGGCAGCCGGGAAGTTTGTTACTTAGCAGGTCTAGCATGACACTATAGACTTGATAAGGATCATGCCTAGAGTCAGGGAAGACTAGGAGCTCTCTAGTCAGAAAAGGAAACAAGTGGAGTGTAATGAGAGGAAAGACAAGAAGAAATTGGACTTCTCCGATACACAATGGGGGCAGTCAGTGCACAACTGAGAGGATAATTGGTTCCACAGGATTTTATTTGTGAAAGGCCTCCTTCCAGCATCTGTTAGAACTGGTCAAAAGGTTTTGGGTTTTTTGTTTTGTTTTTTTTGAAGGTTTTCTATTAAGACACAATTTTCTCAACTTTATCCCCTATTTTTTTGACCATTTCCATTCAGTTCATGTTTCTATTATAAACCTTTATTTCCAAACCATGAAGAATGGCTTTTCAGAAAAATCTGGTAGCTGTAGCTTTAGCCAGGGAGCAAATGTGCTGGTATTGCTTATTGGGGTGGGCTGGGGGGTTGTTTTGTACTTCTTTTATGAAGAAAGATAGTTTAGTCATTTCTAGAGAGGGCTGGGAGTTGGAACTGGATGGCTCAGGGTATAAGTAATGAAATAATACACATCTAGTTATCTGAGGGTTGTCAGTTCAATTCCAGACCAAATCAATAGTAGCTATGTATTGCTATTTTGTAGCCTCTATGAAATGAATTGGCAATCTCAGGCCAAATCCTAGTGGACAGGTGTCTACATGGCTACCATCACTGGCACATCAGAAAGGCGCCATGGAGAATGAAAGAAATACCATCTCACCTCCTGCATAGCTACCACTCCCATGCTATACCTTTCTGTTGTGTGGATGAGCAGAGGGGTTCAGGGCTGTCACCCCACACCTTTCCTGAGCACTAAAAATTCACTCAGAGCCTTCCCTCCCCCTGCTATAAAATTCACTATGAAATATCGTTGGCCAATCAATAAAGCACATCAAAATTTGGTGTAGTTGAAGGGAAAAATAAAATATGATTGCAGATTGTACAATAAATATAGTGTAACAAATTCTTAGCCACCAAGAATTCATGGGTGCCATTATACTGGACATTGTGGCCATTCAGAATGTCACAGCAGAACTTCACCCAAGTTCTCCTGCTCCAGAAGCATAGGCCCCATTCACTTGAGTGAGAACACCTTTAGCTGTTATAAGGTTAAGATCTATAGCAGTGGTCCCCAAACTGTGGGGTGTGCCCTCTGGGGGGGGGAGGGAACAGAGGAATGTTTGGGGGGCATGGTGGGGCCCAGGCCCACCCTCATAGGGGGTGGGGAGGGAGCCCCAGCTCTGTCCCAGCTGTGCTCCTGGTTCTGGCTCCTGGCTGCTGCTCGGGCCTTTGCCCCTGGCCACAACCCTGGCCCTCACCAAGGCCCTGCTCCCAGCTGTG